TTTCAATGCTGGCGCTTCACCAATGATGTCCAAACAAATTCCAGCTGCAAAATGCTACGCCATTTACCATCAATCATCACAAAACACCAGGAATACTTGAGGCTTTCCACTCTGACTGCTGGCGAATTTGTGTGTTTCGGCGAATGGAGGTACCCCCAAATCCGCTTTGGACACATCATGATGTTCTCATTCTTTCAGCATGGATATTTCCATGAACTGGTTAGTTGTACCTGGATTTTTTTTTTAGATCTTCTTGTCCATTGTCTCATTCTTCATCATTTTCCGCAACTAAAAAACATATGTGCCATGGTCAAAACATGGAATATGGAATGCCACGCCATAGGAATGCAAGCGGATTGATGACAATCCCTCCTAAACTGGGCAATATAGATCAATTTACCCAAGTTTTTATCATGGTACATGGCACATTAATGGTGGCAACATGGCCTGTGGGCGAGATGCTGGCCAACCAGGAAAACGCATGTCTCTTTCTGAAGATCTGGCCAGGAGGAACAGATCGGGATGGAATCTAAACAGATCTGTAGAGTTTCAATAGAAAATTATAGTTACTTTTCCTTTCTTAACATATAAATAAGCTGGTTTAAGCATGATGTAACTGGGAAACTGTTGGGACACCCAAAACATGATCTGAAATACAGGCATCTGAAATGGAATGCCATCAATGATCCTGCATTGTATAGTTTTACCTTTGATGGACATATACTTCAACATTCAACTTGGTAGGGAAGGTACACGGACTTTGGGTAATGTTAGTTCCCATCAAACATAATTCTATGGCTGAGAAACTATTGCCATGATGAAACATCATCTTACTATTGGATATGTTTTTTTTTCGTTCATCATGTTCAATTCTGCCCTCGGAGAAGTGGGATTTCTGAATGGGCGATAATCCAATGATCTACCCTGAAGATGGCAATTATTTCATTGGACAAATAATGAAAAAAATCATGCGATTTTTTGGGATATATGGGGGGAGTAAACCTGCTATTCATGGCAAAAAACTCATGGAACAAAGTCATCAATTTATGAACATATCATAGGGGATACATTTTGTTTTTTTTGGGAACTATATAACCAACTATAATGCTCAAGAAAACATTGTAGGAGGGGATTGAAGTAAACATCGCGACTATCGTAGGGATCTGCTTTGAGACATAGTGGGTGTACGAAAAAATATTGAGTTGCAAGGGCAGCAGTTGACAGGCCCCTGCCAGTTTGTTATATCCCCTTGCAATTAGACATGGCAATGGAACATCATTGATTATCTCTGTCAAGCTCTTGTGGTCGCTTTTCCTGAAAAATGTTTGATCAGCAGTGTTTCTTTTGATATACAGATTTGGTGTTTCTTTTTCACCCATCCAATCTTTGTCCGCTCCGTCATCTCCCCACATTGGGATGAAAAGTACATCAATCTAAAGACAAAAAAATAGCCGGACAGCCGCAGTATTGATGCAAAATAAACGGATTCCTAAAGGACACACTGGTTTGGTTTTGTGATTTTGTAAGGCGGGGAGCTTGCAGAGCGGATATCATCAAGAATAATTAAATTTAACACAACAACAACCACAACCACAACAACAACAACAACACCAACACCAACAACCCCAACAACCCCAACAACCCCAACAACCCCAACAACCCCAACAACCCCAACAACCAACAATAAACAACCGACAACCGACAACACACAACCGACAACCCACAACCAACAGCCAACAACCACAACCACAACCACAACCACCAACCAACCAACCAACCAACCAACCAAACAAACAAACAAACAAACAAACTGCGAAAGTATGAGGCTCTGACACTACTGAGCAAACAAGGTCACACAAGTCCCACAAGCTCAAAGTCTTTTCTCACCTCTGCTGATGCCACAGCATCGTGCTTGAGCCAAAGTAAGTTGAAGTACTTGGCATGGTAGAGTGACGCGGGAGAAAATTGCATATTTCACACAAACGAACGAACAAATAAACAAACAAACGAAGGAAGGAAGGAACGAACAAACAAGCAAAAACACAAACAAAGAAACAAAGAAACACAGAAACAAAGAAGCAAACGAACAAAGGAACAAATAAACAACAAAGAAACAACAAAAAACGACAAAGCAACGACAAAGAAACAACAAAGAAACATCAAAGAAACAACAAAGAAACAACAAAGAAACAACAGAGAAACAACTGAGAAACAACAAAGAAACAAGAAATACACAATAAAGAAACCACAAAGAAACAAGAAATACACCATAAAGCAACCACAAAGACACAACAAAGATACAACCAAGAAACAACAAAGAAACAGCAAAGAAACAACAAAGAAACAATAAAGAAACAACAAAGAAACAACAAAGAAACAACTGAGAAGTAACAAAGAAACAACAAAGAAACAACTGAGAAACAACAAAGAATCAAGAAAAACACAAGAAAGAAACAACAAAGAAACAACCAAGAAACAACAAAGAAACAAAAAAGAAACA